TTAACAATTTAGGAATAAAAGAAGTCTGAGAACATTGTTATGGACTAAACTGTGTCCCCCCAAAATGTGTATGTTGAAATCCTAACTCCCAATGTGACTGTATTGCAGTTAGGGCCTTTAGGAGGTAATTAAGGTTAAATGAAGTCATAAAGGTGGGGCCCAAATCCAACAGGATTAATGTCCTGATAAAAAAAAGACACCAAAGACCTCACTCGCTTTCTTCGAGTGCACACAGAAAACAGAGGTAACATGAGCACAAAGCAAGAATGCAGCCATATGCAAGCCAGAAGAGAGCTCTCACCAGAAACTAAATCAGCCAGCACCGTGATCTTGGACTTCCCAGCCTCCAAAGCTATGAGAAATAAATTTGTGTTATTTAAGCCACCCAGTCTGTGGTATTTTGTTACGGCAGCCCAAGCTAATATAAACATTCCAACACGGAGGAAACCGAGACTACGCAGCAACAAAAAATATTTTACAAAACCATCATTAGGGGCCAGCCTGGTGGCGCAAACAGTTAAGTGTGTGCGCTTCGCTGTGGGGGCCCGGGGTTCGCCGGTTCAGATCCCGGGCGCACACCGAGGCACCGCTTGTCAAGCCATGCTGTGGCGGCGTTCCATATAAAGTGGAGGATGTTAGCCCAGGGCCAGTCTTCCTCAGGAAAAAAAAGAGGAAGATTGGCAGATGTTAGCTCAGGGCCGATCTTCCTCACCAAAAAAAAAACCTAGCATTAGAGGAATGAAAACACACATCCACACAAAAACTTGTATATGAATATTCATTGATAGTACCATCATTCATAATAGCCCCAAAGGGGAAACAACTCAAATGTCCCTCAATAAAAGAACACATGAATAAAATGTATACCCATGCAATGGAATATTATTCAGTAATAAAAAGGAATAAAATACTGATGCATGATATAACATGGATGAACCTTTAAAACATTAAGCTAAGTGAAAGAAGCCATTCACAAAAGACCACATTTCACATGATTCCATTTATATGAAATGTAGAGAATATGCAAATCTACAGAGACAGAAGTAGATTAGTGGTTGCCAAGACCGGGGGATGGGGAGATGGGGGAGACAATGGGAGGACTGGGGAGTGATAGCTAAAGGTTACAGGATTTCTTTTTGGGGTGATGAAAGTGTTCTAAAATTGACTGTAGTGATGATTGTACAACTCAGTGAATATACTAAAATCATTGAATTGTACGCTTTAAGTGCATGAATTTATGGTATGTGAATTGTATCTCACTAATGTCATTACTAAAAAAATTAAAATTTAACAAGTAAAAAAACACAAAAAACTTTTGCTCTACAATCATAACAAGTACTTAGGTAAGAGTTAAAAGAAAATAATTAAGTTGAGCGATATTTTTCTGACATGGAATGATGTTCAAGACATATTAAGTGAAAAAACAGAGTTAAAGAACCATATGAACAAAGTTATAAGATTTCTATAAAACAAAACCAAAGAACAAAACTCTCTCTCTCTCTACACACACACACAGACACACACAGACACATATGCAAGTGTATACAGCAGGTTTTGGAAAAGACAACTATGCAAAAAAATGATAAATAGTGATGTAGGAAAATGTCCTACATTACTTATAAAAGTTTATAAATACTACAGAATAAAAATAAAGGCAGAAACTGCAGGAAAAACAACAAGCAATAAGAAACGAAATGTAACCCTAATGATCTCTGTTCTGGCAGTAATCAATATTTACTGTCACAAAAAAACCAATACACACACACAAAAAAACCCCCATAAAAACTCAATAATAAAAAACATCCAATCAGAAATTAGGCAAAAGATACAAAGAGATATTTTACCAAAGAGGATATATGGGTGGCAAATAAGCACATGAAAAGATGTAAGATGTTCAAACTCAGTATCCATTAGGGAGATGCAAATTAAGACCATGATGAGATGTCACTACACATCTATTAAAGCAACTAAAAGAAAAAATATTGACAATACCAAATGTTGCCAAGAATGTGCAAAAACTGGATCTCTCATACACTGGTGTTAGAAATGTAAAATGGTACAGCCACTCCGGAAAATAGTTTGGTGGTTTCTAAAAAAACTAAATGTAAGCTTACCATACAACCCAGCAACTGCGCTCCCGGGCACGTATGCCAGAAATGAAAATTAACATCCACACAAAGAACTCTACCCAAAAGTTTGTGTCTTTATTTATAATAGCCCAAAACAGAAAACCACCAAAATATCCTACGGTAGTTGAATGGTTAAACAAAACTGTTAGACATCCATACCACAGAATACTAATCAGCAATAAAAAGGAATGAACTATTGCTACAGGCAACAACTTGGATGTGTCTCAAGGACATTATCCTGAGTGAAAAAAGCCAGTCTCAAAAGGTCACATACGGTATGATTCTATTTATGTAACATTCTCAAAATGACAAAATTACAGAAATAGAGAACATGTTAGTGGTTGTCAGGGGTTAAGATGGTGAAAGGGAGGAAAGCAGATGTGACTAGGAAGGGGTACCACGAAGGAGATATTTGTGGTAATGGAATAGTTCTGTATCTTGGCTGTAAATCTATACACGTGCAAATCTTGATTATATTAAATCTACACATGTGATAAAATAGCTTAGAACGATACACATATATTGTACAAATGTTAATTTTCTGGTTTTGATATTGTACTGTACTTAGATAAAAGATAATCATTGGGGGAAACTGGGTGAAGGGTACACAGCATCACTATGTATTATTTTTGCTACTTCCTGTGAATCTATATTTATTTCAAAATAAAAGTTTTTTAAAGGACATCAGAGTCCAAAACAGAGGTCTTCAGAATTAAAAACATGATGGCAGAAATTAAAAATTCAATAGAAGGATTGGAAGATAAAGTTAAATCTTCCAAAGAGAGCAAAAAGACAAAGATGTGGAAAACAAGAGAGAAAATTTAAGAAAATTAGAGAACCAGTCATATAGAAACAACATCAGAATAACGAATTCAAGAAAGAGAGAATGGAGAAAATAGGAGGCAGAGAGTCAACAACAAAATAATAAAAAAAAAAAAACTTCACAGAACAGAAAGACGTGAGTTTCTGGTGCCCACCAAAATGAGTGAAAATAGACCGATAGCAAGGAATATCTTTGTGAAACATCATAACACTGGGGACAAAGAGAAGATTCTACAGGCTTTCAGAAAGAAAAAATCAAGTCACATACAAAGGAACAGAATGGACTTCTCTATAGTAACTCTGGATGCTAGAAGATCACAATGCGATGTTTTCAATATGCTGATGATTTCCAATCAAGAATTCTATACTTAAACTCTCAGGCAAATAAATGTTAAGATAGAATAATAACATTTTTAGACATGCCTGACGTTTTAGATATAAAAACTATTTCTTATACATTCTTTCTCAAGAAACTACTGGAAATTGTGATCCACTAAAACAAGAGAGTAAGCTGGACATCATCTAGAGCACAAACATAATCACACAGGGCATCCCTGCTCCTCTCCCCAACACCCCTAAGACTATTCCTCTTTCTCTTTCTCCCATATTCCTGATCTCATTAATAACATCAGCACCAATGAGTAGCTCAAGCTGGGAACCTAAGTCATCCACTACACTCTCATTTCTCAAAGCTAATTATGAAGACTTGATGATTTTACTCCCTAAATATTTCTCAATCCTATCCCTAATTCCATGGCCTGACTTTAGGTCTATATCATAATAACCACCTAACCAATCTCCCTATCTCCAGTCCTGGCCTCCTCAAATCCATCCTCCACGATGTGGCTATAGCCATCTGCCTAAAGCGCAAATTTGACCATGTGACTCATGTCACAAATTTGACATGTGACATCACTTAAAACTCAAGTTTCCCAAATTCTGACCAGCAAGATAAACACGTGGCCGTCAAACTGCCACTCTCCACACCTACCTCCCCCACCTCCATGGTAGCGATTATAAGTGATCATGGCGCTTTCCTGCAGAGCCTAAACTCAGCCTCATAACTTTCTTAACATAGCTCATAGGAATCCACCACGAGATGAAATCATTTGCAACTCCCGTTCAGTATAAGAGCCAAGAACTTTAGCAAGGCACAGAAGGCCCTTCCAGACTTGACTCCTGCCTCTCTCAGGGAACTGTCCACTCCCTTGTTTCACACCTCCTTAACTTCACTCATGCTGTTCTCTCTCCTTGGGATGCTTCTTCACCTGGCTAATAACCTTGCCATTTCAGGCCATCTCCAGGACCCTTCTCTCACTCCCTCAGTTGAGTTCTCTTTCCTCTGTGCTCTCCTAATATCTTGTTCCCCAACCACGTTGTACTCAAATTCTGTTTACAAGTCTCCCTCAGTAGACAGAACTTATTAAAGGACAAAGGCCTGGTCTTATTCTCTTTGTATTTCTAGCACCTACTGCACGGTAGGAGTCCGACAAACATTTGTTGAAATTAAAAGACTACAAATGCAGCAGGGCCCTAGGGGTGAAACAGACAAGGAAGTGAAAGGACCTATGGGGAATCGGGTAGAACTAATGTCATATTTTGCATCCTTTCCAAATGGTTTGGTCTGCTTATTCCTGCTCTTCCTGTATCCCCATAATCAGAAATGATGGCTTCTTCTGATTTTGCTCCTTCAGTGTTCGGGGCTTCATCCACAGGTTACTTATGTTTTGTCACTGCCACTCCTAGACTGTAAGCCCTTTGAGGGAAGGGACTGTGTCTTTATGCACTTCGCTCCTCTCGGTGACAAATGCCGGCGTACAGGAAGCACATGTACATGCGAGACGGTGGCCGGTCACCACAAGACAATGGCCCAGGCTCCGCTTCCCCGACGCCCGCCCCGCCTCCCTCCCCTCTCCAGGCCCCCTCCTCACGGCGGCCGCTTCCCGCCTTCCGGGCGGCGGAAGTCGCTGGCTGCTCGTCCCTGCCCACGTGGAGCCTGTTCCGGTGCGCCCGCCCGCTCCGCCTCTCCGATCCGGACCTGGCCCTCACCTCAGGATTCCCAATGTGTCTCCGGACAGACATATTTGCTCCAACCGACCACGCTCGGGGTTCTGGCCTCACCGGTTGCCTCTAACCCTAGCTTCCCACCCCGACGACCTCGCTCAGCCGCCTCCCTACAACCTCTTCTCCGATTGGCCTGCCTTCCCGACCAGCCAATGGAGGCTCTGTTTACTGACTCAATGCAGGGTCAGAGGAGAGCTAGACTCTGCTCAATGGTTGCCAAGGGCAACGCGGGACGCCGGCTGCTGAGGCCTTTTGTGCTCTCGGCGGGGCCAGGCCGGCTCCAGCCTTAGCGCGGGAAGAGGAGCGCGGGGGAGGGGCAGGCTGGCGCCTGCGCGGGGGCGGCTGCGCAGAGCCCGAGGGGGGAGCGGCTCGAAAGGGGGAAAAAAGTGTTTCTAGCTAACGTAGAAGCACAAATGCGGTACAGAGCATCCCCCGCTTTAAAGCCATTTTAGCCAAACGTGACTACGTCTTCCACAATAAGGAATAGATATGGGACAGGGTTGTTGGGCAGGAATGGGAAGCTGTAGTTTGTTATTTTCAGGTTAAGTTAATATGCAAATTATGCAAAATAGCATGTGTAAATACAGTAATTATTGTTGCTTTAAAAGCTTTTAGCTAGCTAGAGAACGGCAGCCTTAATTGCAGAGCGCACACACCATTCTGTGATTCATCATTCATTTAACAAATATTTAATAAGCACCTTATGAGAAAAGCTGCAGTAGGTTTTGTGGAGGATGGGAGGATGACTAAGACCCAATCTCGTTGTCATGGAAACAACTGTGACTCCTGCCATCAGCCACCACCTGTTCTTATTCCAGATCTGAAAATGAAGTCCTAGCACCTTTACGAAACAATCACACACACAGTTTGCCTTGGCTCCAGAATGTCCCACCAAATCCATCAAAATCATTATTTCCTTTTACCTGAGAGAACAACACAGTAACCTTTTGTCCTTTGCTCTAAGTTGTTTTTCCAGGAATGGAGGAAGGTTATTCTGAGCTGTTCATGTTTACAGGCTCTCTGCTTGTGAATACCAGCATACATCTGAACTACTTCAGGGTCTGTGCGGATGAGCTGTTCAACGACATGGCCTTGCATGCTCTTGTCCTCTCAGACCCTTCAGCATCCCACCCTTGGGGCCACACCTTGAATCGTGTTCTCACTCAGAGCTGCTTGACCCCCAGGATCTCAAGCTGGCCATAGCTGTCTGCTGCAGGTTCACTCCTGCTGAGTTTGTCTTAACTTCCCTAGTGTTCTCCCGTCCTCCAACCCCTTTGAAATTCCCAGTTTTTCACCCCTCCACTAGAATAACGGAGAGTTTAGGGGCTGCAAAAAATTGGAAGGGGGGCAGTGGGGAGGATATTTATCCAGAAGCTTCTGCGTAGCAAGCAGAAATTTCTAGATACAATACTACTTAGAATGTATGCTTACCTGGTGGAGTGTGGGGGGTGGGGTGATGATAGAGATTATGGGTAGAATAAACAGGAGAAGGCAAAGAAGAGAGGGAGATAATAAGGGACTAAACTAAAAGGTGGTGAGAAAGAGAGGAAAAGAAATTTAAAGACATTTGTAGGTAAAATGAACAGTTAGTATATACAGGAGAAGAGATAAGGGGTGCAAGCAATAGGAATGCATCAAGGATGGCTATAATTTTTCTAATTTGGGGGACTGAGTAGATGAGTGATAACGCATTAATTAAGTTAAAGAATAATGGAGGTCAGGGGCCGGCCAGCTGGAGCAAGCAGTTAGGTGCGCGGGCTCCTCCGCTGCCATGCTGTGGCGGCATCCCATGTGAAGTGGAGGAGAATGGGCACGGATGTTAGCCCAGGGCCAGTCTTCCTTAGCAAAAAAAAAAAAAAAAAAAGAGGATTGGCAGATGTTAGCACAGGGCTGATCTCCTCACACACACAAAAAAAAGAATAATGGAGGTCAAGCAATCAAAATAACAGAAAGTGCAAGACCCAACAGCCCATTGGAGTTGGAAGCTCAACTTCCATTCTTCAATGTTTGGGCTCACTTCTCTGTATGGTTGTCTTTCTTTTGTTCCAGAGGGTGTGGGAATATCAGGTGTATTTGCCTCAGTAGTTATTGTGGTTGTCAAATTTGGGCTGCATATAAAGCACACAGAGAGATTATCAAAATGTGGCTTCTTGGGTCCAACTGTCAGACAGGCGGACTCTATGTGTCTAGGGTCGGGGTGTAGGAGTCTGTAATTTAAATACACGCTCCTTCACTCCCACTCCTTAATTCTGACGTACGGAGCTCAAGGGCCACACCTTGAGAGACTCTCCTCTAGAAGAACCTCCCTTTTATTTCGCATTTTGTCTTAATGGAATCCTCGGAGAGCTTAAAGCCATGAATCAAAAGGCTTTTAACATCATGAATTTCCGTTTAGGATTCCCTTTGGATCCTGCTATAGCAAAACTGCGACCAAATTAAAGCAAGGTGCTTATTCCTAATATAAGAAATAGGTAAATGTCACAAAAAGATAATTCATAGAAGAAAAACATTCAATAAATATATTGAGAAATGTCCAACTAATAATGAAAGAAATACAAAACCAAATAGCTGGATCCATTTTTCAACTAACAAATGGACAAAGGTTGTTCTGTTTTCTCTCTTTTTTAAATAATGCTCAGTGTTGGCCAGTGATTCACAAAACAAGCATGCTCATCCATTGTTGGTGTGAATATGAAGAAGTGTGACCATTTTGAAAAACAATTTGAGTGGATATTGAGAAGCCCTCAAATCTTAATATTCTGAGACATTCTCCTAAGGAAATAATCAGAGAGATGCACAAAAATTACGCCCACAGATGTTTACTGGAATCTTATTTAAATGATGAAAAATTGAAACAGCCTAATTGATCATCAGTTAAAAAATGCTTAAACTAAATGATGGCATATCCATAAAAAGTAATATTATGGAACCATTAAAAAGTATGTTTCAAGGAATAATTAAAGCAATGGAGAACTGTTCCTGATATAGTAAATGGAAAGAGCTGGAAACAATTTTTTATTTAATATAATCCTGATTTGTGTGGAGAAAAATATAGGTATCCACTGAAAAAATTGAAAAAAATATTTAAAATGTAAACCATCTCTGGATTATGGAAATAGATGTTTTATTCTTTATACTTTGTGTATTTTGCAGATTTTCCTCAGTGACTATGAATTAACTTTATACTTTAATAAAAGCATTCTCCCCCTAAGAAACAAAAAACTCGAATCAGACTTCAGCTTGAAAAGTTGTCTGTGGCCTTGGTCTGGGCTAAATTCTGTGTAATTCCTCTACCTGAAGTGCTGTAGCTCTCCCGTTCTTGGCAGTAAAAGACTCTCCAGGCACTTGAGTAAGATCCTTGCAATCAGAGTCGTGATTGCTAAGAGGTTCAAGCTTTGTAAGAGAAGAAGTTCTGATTCTTTTCTTTAAAAGTTCCTACTTCCACTGATTAATCTTATTTTTCACAACGTTGGAAGTGCTCTTGTGAACTTCCATTTGTTTGATGTCTTCTTTTTAACCCTGTGTGTGTTCCAGAGGGCTTTTAGTCTCTACAGAGTTGGTGAGAGCCCCAGATAGGGAAGTGTGGCTGGCGAAAGGTCAGTTAGTGTTCTAGCTGCTCCTGTGCTTGGTCATCCCCTCCCTTCGGCCTCCCTTACCCCGGGGAGCTAGATCGGTATGTAGGTGTCAAGCAGTCTGGCCCTCTCCTGAGCCTAAAACCCTCTGACCTTCCTTCATCCTGAATCCGTCTTCTCGTCCAGCCTCATGCCATCCAGTTAGCTTTCTATCTCCTCACCCTTAGCTCTCAGCCTGGTTTCCTGATCAGAGCCCAGCACCCTTCCCTCAGACCTGTCTCATTGTGTTGCTTTTCGGAGATGGGCCTTGGCTCCCTTCCTTGGCTTCATTTACCTTCATTCCCTAAATGACATACACTTCCAGATGCTTAAGGAAAAAATTCTGCCCAACCCAGTCTGGTCCTGGGGTCCTTTCCCTGCCCCCCCAGAAATGGAACTGCGTCTGAGGCAGTGAACCCACAGATCCATAGGCACCCTGTGATAAAGTCCCTGCAGTTCTGGTAAAAGTTTAGTGTCATTCTACCTGTGGTGAAATGTGCCTGAGGGAAGAGCACACCAGCCTCTGAGGGCAGGGCCGACCCTTGCCTGCCTCCAGCTCAGGCCAGAGTTGAAGTGCTTGGCCCAAAGGCCTCAACCATCCCTGCAGCCCCTCCCAGGGGAGTAATACCTACCTCTTTAGGATTTCTTTGGAACTACCACAGGCTACACTGCTTTCTGGTAAAAAAAAAAGAAATTGGCATCCTGGCTGCTTACCTGATGGGGTTGGCATTCCCACACATGCAGTTCTGCAGCAACTTCTGAAAGCCACATGGTACGTGTAGCTGTGGTAGAAAGGATGTATGATGTCCCCTTCCAGGGAGCTCTAAGACTTCCTTTACCACCTGTGATCAAACCCAGGGCATTTGGTCGTCACTTGCCATGTTCTGCTTCTGGCTTGGGATTTACATAGAACATAAATGTGGATGAAGTGTGTCAGATGTTCTCATTTCTCAAAATAATCTAGAAACCTAGGTTTTCATGTGAAATCTACAGGCCAGTAACTTGCAACCCCTGTGCTAGACTCTGCAAATATAGTTCCTGTTCTTCATGGTGTTTAAATAATCAAGATAATATCCGTGGTTAAAAACAAACATCAGTGGGATTTCTGCTTCCATTTAGGATATAGAAAGCTGCAAGAGACATCACTCCTGTCTAACAATAAGAAAAAAATGAATAATCTACAAAATCACAAGTTTTCTTGAATCCTTCAGAGCTGAGATCACGAGGCAGCCACATAACTGAATTCCAAAAAGTGACAAGCCCAAGGAGAGAAGGGACACACAAACTGTTTTGCATTTGGCAGAGCACTGGAGAAAACATGACTGCTATAGAAGTGGGTAAGAAGAAATCAGCTACAATTTTCACTAATGTCTAAATGCTGAGTTTGAGCTAGTGGATCAGTTTAGAATAACTAGCAGTCTATGATGGTTAATTTTATGTGTCAGCTTGGCTAGGCACAATACCTAGATGCTTGGTCAAATACTATTCTAGATGTTTCTGTGA